ACTGGATGCAGGGACACCAGGGAGGCTAGAGCAGCAATTTAGGCAACATGAGAGAGTACTTAGATGGGGCGGGGGGCATTGGGGGGTGATCCTGAATCAACCTGGTTGAAGTCAAAGGAGAAGCAGAAGTTGGGGCATGGAAGGATCTAGGGTGGTGCCTGGGTTTCTAGTGTGCATAACTGGTGGATAGGGCTCTGTCTTGGGCCAGTATCCAGCTGAGGGCAAATACCTGGTGAATATGCCATAAACACGTGCCTGTTGAAGTACAGAAGGCCTTAGCGGGAAGAAGGATTTTCTTAGCATGAGGATATGTCTGCTCACTTCCTCCTTCCCTTCATTTCCTGTGGCTTTGCCTGCCTTGGATTACCCAACCATCTGTGTCCTGCCGGACTAGCCACAGCTCAGTATTTCTTTTTAAAAAATGCTTTATTTTTGATTAACATGTATGAGTTGAATATATTGATAGGATTCTGTGTAATATTTTGAAACATGTATACAGTGTGTACTAATCAAATTCAGCCTCCCTCAGCTCTCCTCCCCTTCTCAACCTCTAGCAATCACTCGTCTACATCCAGGTCTACTTTTTTTGGCTTCCATTTATGATAGACTACTCAGTATTTGCCTCCTGTGTCTGGTTGCCTTCACTCTCAGTCCCATCCAGACTCCTGTTTCTGACCCTGTACAAAAATCAACTAAAAATGGAGCCAACCCAGATGCCCATCAGCAGATGAATGGATAAAGAAAATGTGGTACATATTCACCATGGAGTATCATTCAGCCACAAAGAAGTAAGATTTTATGACATTTGCAGGTAAGTAGAAGAATCTGGAAACCATCATGCTAAGTGAAATAGGCTAATCCTACCCCAAACCAAAGGTTGAATGTTTTCTCTGAGATGCGTAAACTAACCCACAACAAGCAGAAGGGAGATTAGAAGTTCAGTGGAGTAGACAAAGGGGAATGAAGGGAAGGGAGGGAGGTGGAAAAAGGAAAGACAGTGTAATGAATCTGACATAATTTTCCTGTGCATACAAATGAACACACCACAGTGATTCCCACCATCTTGTACATCACAAGAAATTAATTAAAAAAAAACTGTGTGTAAATGGTAGAAAGATCGATAGACGGAAGGGCCCTGCAGGGGGTGGGGACAGGGAAGGGGAAGGAGAGGTACTGGGGACTGAATTAGAATAAGATATATTCCTGCTTGGATAATATATCAAAATGGATTCTACTGTCATATATCTCTAAAAGGAACTAATAAAAAATGTGTTAAAAAACACAATGTAAGACCTGAAACTATGAAACTAGTACAAGATAACACAGAGGAAACACTTTGAGGCATTGGGATCAGCAATATTTTTGGGGATCTGATCACAAAAGGAAATAAAGTGAAAAAAAAATAGACAAATGGGATTACAGCAAATGCAACAGCTTCTGCACTGCTAAGGGAACCATCAAGAGTGTGAGGAGACAACCTACGGAAAAATGGGAGGGAACACCAGCCATTCATCTTGCAATGAATTAGCATCCAGAATACATAAGAAACTCAAAAAAGCAAATCATCCAATTAAAATGGAGGCAAATGGTCAGAATAGAAAAAACACAAATGGCCAATAACCCAGCTCAGTATATCCAATTCCCAGGCCCCAGTGGCTATACCGGGAGGCATTACCTCTATTTCCCTAAGAATGGGTGCATGTTCTGCCCCTCCCCCACCCTCTCCAGCCACCCTCTCCAGCCACAGCACCATTACTGCCAAGAATTGCTATAGTTTTTCATCAATTTTCTTGGCATTTTGCAGTTGTATTAACATTAAGATTTATACTCAATAGTATCATAATTTTCTACTACTAATAGGATTAGTATTTTTATTCATTTGCTTTTGAAAGCCATTAGCATAAAATTTACCTCCAACAATCCCTATTGTGATTTTTAATGCCCTTGAAACTTGCCATGAGTGATAAGTCTATAATAAAAGAAATGCTGGTAAACATATAAAAAGTCCTTTGTGGGAAAAGAGGGCTTTTTATTTTCATCATAGTTGGACTCCAGTTCTTTGATAGAAACATTGGTAGGCTATAAAGTATTAAGTGCTGAGAACACTGTTAGTTTGTAGATGTTTTCAAACAAGTCCCCTGGTATCTCGAGGACACTTTTATATTCTAGGAGGATTCATATTCGTGCTTCCTTTCATGTTGTTTCTTGCCTGACTTAGACAAAAGTACAAGTCATGTGTTTGTTGGGAACAATATTCAGGGCCATGAATTGTATAGAAGTGAAGGGACCCTGAAATTACTCTGCCCAGCTGACTTTTCAAGGAGCTGGGAACTTGACGTGCTGCTAGCAGAGGTCCCATCCAGAGGCTGGTGAGAGGAGTTCCTCTGGAGGGCAGTGGAGTGGGCAGGGAAGGTGCACAGGCAGGGCTGGCTTTGTGGGTGTTATGACCTGTGCAGTCTCCCTGGGCCCCATGCTTTGAAATTTGCAGCATCACCATTTTGAAATTCTTAAGTTTGAATAAGGAACCCCGTGTCTGCACTGAGCCCCACAAATTATATTTTTCGTATTGTGCATAGGCTTTGGAGATGGACAGACTTGGGCATGGGTTCTGGTATTTTCTGCAATTAAACAGGCCTTGGTTTCCTGATCTGTAGAACTGGGATAATAATATTGTCCTGTCAGACTGGATGTACAGGGAGCTAACAATAGATGTCCAGTACCCTCCACAGTAGTGATAGACACTGGCACATGCTGCTCCTTCCCATGGGTTGACTCCACAATTAAACTTACCATTATATGACTTTGTGTCAGGGACGATAGCCCGCTGGGATAGGCAGACTCTGCCTGAGTGCTGTACAGGCCAGCCCCAGGCATGCTGGTGAGAATCACCCCAAGCAAAGAACACTCTCCTAAGGCTAGGGTCCCATCCCAGAGTTTCCAACCTTTTTATACTTGTGACATAGGACAGTGTTCATCAGTGCAATGGAATCCTAGGTTTGTATGAATCCCACATGCTTCTCTTCTCTCCAGAAACTCCCAAGACAGCCAATAAGTGAGACTGACATTATTATGAAGATGCCCTTGACCTTGATCTAATTTATTTGTTAACTTTAGTATTTCTTTTTGTTTATTAGTTGCTCATGACAATACAAAGATCTTGACATATCATACATTTGATTTTTTTCCACATGTACAGGTTGCAGGATCATACTGGTTATATGGCCACGTATATACATAGAGCAAAACTAGTGTCTACTGTATTCTGCTGCCCTTCCTATCCCCCCTCCCCTCCCCTCCCCTCCTATCACCTCTCTCTACCCAATCTACTGTGACACATTTCTCTCTCTTTTTTTTCTTCCCCCTCACATCATCATACATGTATTTTGTATAACGATGAGGGTCTCCTTCGTCTTCCGTGCAATTCCCCTTCTCTCTCCCATTCCCTCCTACCTCTCTTCCCTATTTAGTGGTAATCTTCTTCTCATGCTCTTCCTCCCTACTCTATTTTGAGTCACCCCCCTTAACGTTAGTATTTCAACTATTATTTGTAACAAATGGTTTTCAATACCCCACATCACAGAGTTGGACAAGTCTATTGGTCATAGTTCCAAGCTTGAGAACCAGGAATGTGGACTCTCCATATCCCAGAAAGAGAGTCTCACCCATGACAGGCCAGACAGACTAGCATCAATATGGACCCCTTGTGACTCTGCCTGGAGTGGCATCTCTTGTTAGGCACGGCAGCCTGAGTCACAGAACCTCAGAGTAGGTAGATGGCCAAACTTTTGATGAATAGCATGCAGTCTTAAAACATCTGGTCAAACATTTTTCCCCCCCAAGAAAAAAGACTTAAAATCAAATTAATAAGGAACACATTCTTGGGCATTTTTCAACTTTGGTCCAGAAGGATTTCTTTGGCGATTATAGTGGGAGTCAGAGTGACCTTTGCTACATTCATTTTAGTAAGGTTTGTGGAGAGCTTGGAGTCATGACAGGGGCTTCCAGGGGAAGGTCTCAGCTGTCCCCATGCCCTGGCACCACTAAGGCCTCTGAGCACCTGCATATCTTGTCATGGGGCATCCATGTGTGAGGGGCCTCCTGCATGTTTTCAGGAGACGTCAGACAGGAGCACAGGGAGGGCGATGGCCTCTCAGTAACCATGCTGTGAGATGACCACTTCCAAAGCATGGTTTGCTCCTTCTCTCTTTCCTCCAGAACTCCTGGTGGGCAGTGAGATGGGGCTGCTCCCAGAGCTCTGTCAGGCTGGAGGGGCTTTGGTGGGCAGCCATAGCTGGAGCTAGGCTGTTGCCTCTCCACACAGTACACAGCTGTTGACAAACTGCTCACCTCTTCCAAGAGTCTCACTTCACCCTCTCTCTCTCGTGTCAGACACATTGGCTCTTGATGAGGAACAATGGCATTTTCAGCCAAACAAGTTGGCAAGATGGACCTTTCCTCCTTTAGCTCTAGGTGGGATGATTGGGGGCTAGCTCCTGCAGCAGTTCCTGGGCCCATGTCACAGGGCACACAGAGAAGGCTTCAGCACACTGTGATCATGACTGATGACCAGCTAACTTATCAAATAAATACCTCAAGTCACAGTTGCAAAAAGCATGTGCCAATACACCACGGTTTATTTTCAGAAGTGACAATTTGGCTTAGACAGCTTGAGCATCATTTCCATCCCCTAAGGATCATAGTAAAAAAAAAACTGTAAATCACTGCTTTGACTCTCAGGAGACCAGAGACATGGTAACCCAATAATGGCCACAGCGGCAGCATGGAGCACAGGCTGAGGAACACAGAATGAAGTCAGGAAAAACCCGAGACAATAACATGGGCACTTGTCACCTATCTTCCCCTTAACACAGAACCCCAAACTCATTTCATAGGTTTTCTTCTAGCCCATTGTACTGCAGATTTTCAGGACCTGGATGAGAAACCTAAGGGATGCTTTACTGCATTCCTGGATTTTGGTTAGTCTATGATTCTGTTCTTACCTGTTGTCGAATTTCTTCCTCCATCTTCACGGGAGAGCCCAGCTCTGCAACTTGTTTGACACCTTCGCTGGCGTAGCCTCCATATTCCCAAAGCACGTAATTCTTGGAGTGGGATCCACCAATGATCGCAGACCAGTGATTGGCTCGACCTGGGAAAGTCAGTTGGGATGCAGAGATATCAATGTGGCTGTGCCTGAAACAGGAGACCCTCAAATGATGGGGAGAAGAGATAACTGAACAGTAAGTCAAGGGGCACAGAGGAGGCACCTATTCTGTGTTAGGCTCACTGCTGTTCAGTGATGTGCACAGTCCCTATGAACAAGCAAGTCTGGGGAATGTGCAGACAGGCTAATAGCAGGTGTCCGCACAAGACAGAGAGGTAGCCCAGGGATGCCCTCTGTCTGGGAGGGCCTCCGTTAAGAGAATTTTAAAGGCTGATCAGATTTGTAAGGCAGATTGGAGAGGAAAGGCTATTTCTGGCAGACTCAGAAACACTAAATAACATGGTGTGTTTGGAGAGTCATCAGTAATTCAGCATTGCTGTGTCACAAGCTGTCAAGGGGACAGTTGGGAGAAGATGCCAGGGAGGTAGTAAGGAGCCTGCTCAGGAATGGCCTTGCTCTAAATGCTTCAGGAATTTGGGTGTCATTTGAAAGGATCTGAAAACCACTGAAGGGCTGTGAGCAGGGGAGGGACATGATTGCATTTGAATTTTAGATAAATCATCCAGGCAGCAGCTTGGAGGATGCATTGGAGGGAGCAAAACTGAAGTGGAGAGATGGGGAGGTGAGCAAGAGCAAAAGCTAAGGGGTGTGTGGAAACAGCCTGCAGCAATTCTCAGGACTGAGTGTGGCAGTCTTCATCTGGCTTTTGCATGCACTGCAGTATGAGGGGCAAGCAGGCTAGCCATATCCAAAGGATAGAACAGACAGGATGTGTGGAAGTGACTGGTCCACAGTGGTCTGGTGATGCTCATGTGAGGTGGTTGTTGTAGCAGGATGGCAGGAGGGAATTAATGCTCAACATAAGAGCATGAGGAGACAGAACTTGAGGATTTTATCCAAGTTTGCAAGGAAGAAAGAGCTGATAGTCAACATCAGCACCATATTGGACTTGTTTTTACATGCAATAAATATGGATGCATCTATATTTATCATTGACTAAGTCACATATAGTTCATCACAGGATTGGCTCAGTTCTCAGGCATTCTTTGGTTGGTTTTACAAAGTCTTAAGCTAAAGAAATTTTTGGCACACTGAAGGAAAAAAATTTGAATTAGGTGAAACAACTGATGTTTTTGTTTTACCACACTGACACCCAGAATGGGCAGATCTCTTCATTCCACCCTGCCCATCCCATCTACAAAAATGATTCTTAACAGGTCTTGTTTATATAGCTGCCATTGCTATCCCCAGGGCCTTCTGCTTCAGGGGCACTGGTGGGACTGAAAATTGGTGCAACCACTCTGGAATGCAATATGGAGATTCTTCAGAAAACTTGAAATGGAACCACCATTAGACTCAGTTATCCCACTCTTTGGGATATACCCAAAGGACTTAAAATTAGCATACTACAGTCATATTAATGTTTATAACAGCTCAATTCACAATAGCTAAGCTATGAAACCAACCTAGTTGCCCTTCAACATAGGAGTGGACAAAGAAATTGTGGTACCTATACACAATGGAATATTACTCAGCCATAAAAAGAATGACTTATGACTTTTGCTGGTAAATGGATGGAGCTGGAGACTATCATGAAATAAGTGAAATAAGACCCCTCCCCCTGTAAAAAAAAAACCCAAACAAGAAACCAAAAGACTGAATGTTCTCTCTCACATGCAGATGCTAACACACAATAAGGGGGCAGGAGGGAAGAAAGGAAGTTCATTGGATTAGACAAAGGGAACTGAAGGGGAGGGAGAGGGATGGGAATAGGAAAGACAGAATGAATGTACATAACTTTCCTATGTTCATATATGAATATACAACCAGTGAAACTCCACATCATGTTCAACCACCAGAATGGATCCTAATTAGAATAAGTTGAACTTCATGAGTGTATAATATGTCAAAATACATTCTACTGTCATGTATACCTACAAAGAATAACAAAACCAAAAAAGAACATGGGCATAAAGCCAGGCTGCACCCTTCTGGCCCACTGAGGTCAACGGAGCCCAACCCCAAGCAGATGACATCACCTTTGTGGGTCTGCCCAATTGCTCATCATTTCACATCAGAGAAATACAAACTTCATATTTATCCCACATATACCTAAAGAACACAGGTGGAGATGCTGCCAGCTACTTTTCTAATTCATTTCCTCGGTTGAAAGAATGTCCCAAACTGTCATCTAAGCTAACAGCAAGCTTATGTAGAAACAAGGGCTGGTACCTATTTTGACCTTTGGCTCATGATTTGAACACAGGGAGACCAGATTCATCATCTTTTGCATCCCCTGTGCTATACACAAAAATATCCCTTATTCTAGGCCTGTCCTACCTGTAATTCTGCACCTCAGTGATTTGGCACATGCTGTTCCTCTGTGCTCACCTCTCACTTGGCTTGGCCAACACTTATTCCTCCTTCATGAATTACTTGGAAGCCTCCCAAGACCACCTCAGGCATATGTGAGTTCTTCTCCCCTGTCTCTCCATCCACAGATCCTATTTTCTATTACTGGTATATGCTGTTGTCCCCCTAGACTTAAGCTCTCTGAGGGCGTCCGTCTTCAGCACTGGGCCTGAGGCATTGGGGGTGCTCCGTATGTTTCCAGAAGCAGCTCATCCAGGCAATCCAATGGGAAGGTGGCAGTACGTGTGCTCCAAGGATCAGGGAGCAGACTTGCAGAGATTTGATTCAATGTGATGAAGTTTAAGTCTCCGTGCAGCAGAGAAACTGACCACTGCTAAGTTAAAGGGCTCAGCTATCTTGTGTGTTATTAAAACAAACCATGAGCAATAAGGAAAAGACATTGGTCTGAGTGCCAACATACAGGGTTCGAGTCCTAGCATTGCCACTTATTGGCTGTGTAAGTTTGGTCAGATTCCATTATTTTATTTCTCTGGGTCTCAGCTCTCTCTTTTATAATTCAGGAATGATAATGCCTACCTTATTGACCTATTATGATAAATATGTTATTAATGATGTTATTTAAAAATGAGATCATGTAGGTGGAATCACTACTGGCCCAGAATAGAGAATTCAGTAATTCAGTAATTATGTTTTCCTTCTTTCATGGTTGTTAGGGAGGCTTCAAAAATAAATGAAACCTGAAACCTGTCCTTAATTCAGAATAAGAGATAAGAAATTATGCATAATATGGAATGTGATAAGCAGGACAATGGGAATAACCACATCATGGGATCAGAGGAAGGGCCCAGATGGGTCTTTCTGATTTATTCATTCAACTTCCATTAACTGTGTGCCAAGCACAGTGGCAGGCCATGGGCACTGACAAAAATAGGATATGGCAGTTGCCCTGAAGGGACTCTCAGATTGGGCGTGGGGGAAACAGATGGATAGCAGATTAATTACAATCTAGCTTGTCAGGGTTATTACAGAACAAGAATGCAGGCTACAGGAATGAAGCAGCTAATTCCTAATGCCCTAAATCCAAGGAATCAAAGTCCAAGGAATTGAGTACAGAGAAGCAGGTATCTCCAGACCAGCATCTATCTTTATGGTTCTTACTCTATTTTTTTTTGGGGGGGGTGCAGGGGTTTACCAGAGATTGAACTCAGGGACACTTGATTACTGAGTCACATCCTCAGCCCTTTTTCATTTTTTGAGACAGGGTCTCGCTACATCTCTTAGGGCCTAAGTTGCTGAAGCTGGCTTTGAACTTATGATCTTCCTACCTCAGCCTCCCAAGTTGCTGGGATTATAGATGTGCGCCATGACACCTGGCATGATTCTTACTCTTGAATAAAATTTCATTGTACCAGTTCAACCTCTAGAGAAAGATGGGTGGGACAGGAATGGCAGGAATTCTATTAACAGCTCAGATAAGAAGACCCAAAGCCTCACAGGACTGTGCTTTCCTGTGTGATCCTCATGACAATACAATACAGTTGTTAGTTTCCTACAATGATTTTGCAACATGACACATTCATTCAAATTTCAACACGTTTAATGACATTGTCCAAATAACAGGAATGTGCAATGTACTCAATGACAGGAAGAGACAAGAATACATCCTCCCTGGAGAGGACAAGGTACCCATGGAGAAAAAATTTGCAACATTAGAATGGGCATAGATGCCAGGTGAGTGGCAGTCACACAGGTGCACAGTTGTACAGGAAAGAAAGGCATGGAGACCCAGTGCTGGAAGACTTGTCTGTAGGCCTCCAACTGTGATCATGCATCAGTCATTTAATCTCTTAGAGCCTCAGTTTTATATATATATATATAATTGAATCCAGGACCTAACATGTGCTAGGAAAGGACACTACTCCTGAGCTACACCCCCAGCCTTTCCACCCCTTTTAAAAATAGGGATAATAGTTACAAGCCTGGACTGTCTCCCAGAGTTGTGCAAATTAATTGGGCTAGTTTTGGAAAGAACTGTGAAATCTGTAAAAACACTGTAAAACGAAGTTCTCAGTATGATTTCAAATATAGAGCACTATGGGAATCTACAAGAATCCAAAAGAAGATAGGTGAGCAAGAACACTTTCCCACAGGAAGGAGGGCTCCCAGAGATTCAGAGAAATAGAAGGAAGCAAGGACAGGGCCAGGGAAAAAGATGGGCGGGACAGGAGCAGCAGGAATCCTATTAACAGCTCAGATAAGAAGACCCAAAGCCTCATAGGACTGTGCTTCCCTGTGTGATCCTCATGACAACCTTATCTTCATGTTCTGGATGAGGGAACTGAGGCCCAGAGAGTTAAAGGAACATATCCAAACTCACAGAATTGGGAAGGAGCACAGCTGGGTTTCAAACCTAGGTCTCTCTGATTCCAGAACACTCACACTTTTCCCTTTACCTCTCTAGGAAAGCAGGAAATGAAAGAGACATTTGGTGGACCAGAGTTAGACCACAAAGAGATTAGATGACATAGAAGGTCAGGACCAGTTGTGGAGACAGCTGAGTGCCCATCATGGCCCTTGGCATTAGGGAAGGGGCAAACAGGATAGAAGATTCC